GCCAGCTGCTGCAGCCCCCCCAATGGCTGCCCCACCCAGCCTGACCCCCCAACTTGCACCCCCAGGCCCCATCATTTAAAGAAAACCCAGAAAGAAACCAGAAAAAAAATGGGGCAAAAAAGCCTCTGCTTACCTTAGAAGCGGGGGGGGGGGCTGCAGGACCTCTTGGCAGAGCTCCCCCCCCGGGCAGCACAGGCCAGTGTGGGGGCAGCAGGGCCCAGGCTGGGGCCCCTGGGGCTGTCACCCTGCTCCACACTGTGCAGGCAGGGCCCCAGTCAGCCAGATGGCAGCCAGACTGCAGGTAAGTGCCAGGGGTTTTTTGTTTTTGTTTTTTTAACTATGGGGTGGGGGGATGAATCCAGCGAGGGCAGGGGTAGGAGCCAGCTGTGGCAGGGGTCAGGGGCCTCAGGAGAGTGGGTGGGGCCATCGGTGGTCCCCTCCATGGTCCCTTTCCCCCTCCTCCAGCCCCCCAACCCCTTACTCACTGGCACTGGAGCCCTGGTGGTGAAAGACAGCCAGCACCAGCCATCAGCACCAGGGTGAGGGGCCAACCATAGAGATGCTCTGGCAGCCAGAGCATCTCTGTGGAGGACCCAGCCTCCAGTTGCCTGCCCTGCTTTTTTAAACTTCAATTTTTTTAGACCCCTGGATATCATTTTCCCATTTGTTTTCATTCCTGCACATGCCTGTTGTCCAGCCTCAAAGGGGTTTGTGGTGGGGCAAGATGCACGTGAACGTGTAAACCACTGAGGGCACATCTCTTACCCAAAGACTTCCAATTCCTTCCAGAGACCTTATGCAGGTTCATTTTATTATCTGTCCCAAAAAACCTGCCCCTTTGAACAGAGGCACTCACTTAAATTTGTTGGTTATAAACAATGGAACAAATTGTGCAACCTAGTTGAAGCACAGAAAATAGGATCTTCACAATTAATAGTTAAGACATTGTCTCTTCACGACCCTGAAATACTTACTGAGAAGTAATTTTACCTCAAGCATTATTTATTTCCTAAAAGTCCTGTTGGAACTAACACTCTCAATTTTGACCTTCTATGCATATAGTAAACCATGTCTCATTATGCATCCTTCACAATCCTGCATGTTTTCTAGATGAACCTCTAACTTAATCACTGCATGTTATTTATTGCACATGGTGAATTAAGCAATGCTGTGAAGGAGTCTTTCCTTCTCTCAGAGCAATTTCATCAGTAGGTCTCCAAATGCAGAGAGTGCTAGATATTTTTATTGTAGTGTCACAGGGAGAAACTGAAGGGGGGACTGCAAATACTAGGGGGAAGCCCCGGCATAAGGAACCTTCAGAGGGGCTGGAAAGAGAAAGAAAAAGTGAAAGGAGATACTTACCTGCAGTGCGACCAGCGGTGAAGCCGGAACTGAGGGAGGAACCCACACAGCTCATCAGCCACGCCTTTATGCAGTTGCGGCCAGCCGGTGATGTCAGCTGCAATTGCTGGCCAGTGGAAATAAAGTGAGCCACAGGCAAGAAGGAGGGGGGCAGCAGCAGAGTGATGCCAGCAGGAACACTGGCAAGAGGTGCCTTCCCAAAGCTCCTGCGGGAGCAACGGGAGCCAGGAGCTGCATTCTCCACCCGGGAGGAACACACTGGCACATGCTGTGAGCCCAAGGCTGTGAACAGTGGTGAAAGAAGCCAGGAGCCAAAGGCGGCTCCTCAACCCTGGGAACCCAAACAAGAGGGCAGAGGGATGCAGGAAGACCCCAACGTCAGAGACCTCCGCGGAGGAGCCGAAGAGGCCAGTGCAGCTCCCACCTTCAGACCAGGTGGGACTGTTGGGGGCACCGAGGGAGCTGAAGAGGTGTACCAGGTGGGAGACGAGGGGACAGGCATCCATCAGAGGATCATAGCATTGCCAATGAAGCCGAAGGTGGGGCAACAAGAACTGAGGAGTGGGGTGCAAGCCACAGGATACCCCGGCCATGTGTAGGGCCAAACCGAGACCCTTAAGGTCGAGAGGAAGTTGTTAGCAACTCGGCCAGGGGGTCAAGGGGACAGTTGGGTCCCCCCGAGGATAGCAGTAGTCCTTCTTTTTGTTGTTGTAATTTTGTGTTTCCCACTTGAGAAGGGGTTGAGAGTTAGAGCTTGGGGAGCCAGTTTGATACATAGGCCACAGGGTGGTTGGTGCCCTTTAGGAAGAGGCAGCGGCCTCATAGCCTGGGTAGGATACTTCTGTCTGTTTTCCATTTTTGAGGCAGGATGGCTCGCCCCTCCCTGTGAGAGTAACTTGGGAGCAGCAGCTGGGAGGCTGGCCAAGAGGACAACAGTGACCTGCCAAGGCTGGGTGTAAGGGTGAGGTAGAGGAGAGGTGGAGCCTCACAGAAGACCACCAGACGGATGTCCCACCATTGAGAGATCCCAAGTGGCTTGACCCCGCACTGAAGTAAGATTCAAAGTCGTGGCAGATGAGGCTGGGGAAGACCACACTGGAGGTGAACACCTACTCGGCGGACCACCAGGGTTGGTAAGACAGACGTCAAACATCCAGAATAGAGCAGCACACGACCGGATGTTCAAGGCCAGGCGGGCACATGTAGGTTTAGTGTAATATATTCAGTTGGTATGCCCAATATCATAAGATGTTGCACATATATATTGCTAGAGAAAAAAAGGCTATTTTAATATTGTACTACTTAAAGGTATATTCTCAACCTGAAAACTAGGGTCATTTAAAAAAAAAATTAAGTGGAAAAACTAATTTCAGGTGTTGTCCTTGACTCTCTCTGCCAGTATTTGCAGTTTTTTAATCATATTTTTCTATCTTTAAAAATGTTTTCCCCATTCCTTTTTGTGCAAACAAGAATAAAAATTGACTACTGGCCCATTCCTGAAAAACACAAGAAACAATAAGGACTAAATAGTTTCATAAATGCTATCAAATATACAAGTAAAATATTCCAGACCTCTTTCCATTATAGTAGTCTTAGATGATACTTGTAGTAATACTCATTTAAAAAAAAAAAAGTCAGGGCAAAAATATTTTTAATTAATGATGTCCCATTAAGAACTAATTTGGAAGACAGAATTAAACTGCAGATTATTAAGTAAGGGTACAAGGCCAAAAAGTTAACCTTGTTCATGCAAGCTTAGCTTCAGCACTCAGACTTTTGTATACTAAACTGTGGAATTTCAATGGTCTTTCTAGATAAGAGGTTTTTGCTATGTTTGTTTTTAATAATACAGTGTGGGGCTGCATCTGTAAAACTGAATTAGTTTAGTTACTTTCAATATAAAAATTACAAGAAGCACCATTATCTGTTATCTTCTCCCTCTGATTTTAATCATCTAAGAACATGAACTAAGAAGACTGAGTCACCTTGCAGAAAAGGCATTAAATAACAAAACAAAACAAAAAAATGAATTGAACAGAACCGGAGTTCATTGAGGTGTCTTTGAATTTAATTCTCAAGTTAAAAAAGTAATTTCTCTTTACTTGGAGGAGTTATGAAATAGTGTTCTATATTCATGATCATGAACATTCTAACCCCTTCCCCTACACACAATTAAATTCTTAACAAAAATTCAATGAGTTCCAAATGTTTAGTCTTTTACTGGTTTTTAAATGCTCCAACAGCACAAAGAACATTTTTAAAATGCCAATGCTGTACTAGCTTAAATATGTCGTGCCAGGTTCAGATAAAATCATGGTTTTTGTTGATCAGCTTAGTTCTGAGACCCAGGAAAAATGATCCATGTTAGGTTTAGGCACCTAAGATCCCAACATGGTCAATGGGAAGGCAATGGGGAGAACCATATGTACTCCCACTAAAAAGAAAGATGCCTTTGATGCCTACTCCCAGAACCATTTATGCATTTTGTATTAGATAGCCATTGGTTTAAAAACAGAAATAAGCCTGGCAGAGGCAATCCAAGTCTCCTTCCTTTCTGAACAGAATTCTCTAACCACTAGACTACAGAAGCAGGCTCCCCCTTGGCTGCATTCTTACTGGGCCTGTAGATCTTGGCTGCCTAGTGACTCAGCCCTAATAAAATCTGTGGAGGGTGCTCCCACCCTCTTTATTCTATCACCTGGTGATTAAGATACATTCATGTAGGATACACAGGTTAGAGTCCCTTCAAGGAGACCTCCAACAACCCAGGCCTCTCAATTCCTGTCCAAGTGCTGCAAGCATATTGTGCAAAAGGTGAGCAGAACCATCACCACTGGCATTTCTGAGTGAAAGTGGCTTGGGTTCTTTACATGGTCCCGTGCCTGTAAAGGGTAGTCTTGTGCTGAAAACCTATGCAGAGTTTACATACCTCCCAACTCCAATATGGATCACAATAGAGCTTAGATGAGAGCTAGCCTTCTAGCTCCTCAGTCTGGATCCCGTTTGAACATCTACACAAGCCTCAAATTGTCATGGAAAGTTCCATAGTTGCTAAAGTTAGAGGTGCCTAATGAATTTAGGCACATAAGTTTTGTGGCCACTTGGAAAGGGGTACTTTTTATAAGTAAAGAGTTAACTTAAATTCACCCATTTAGGATTAATCCACTGAATTTAACTACAACACTTGGTATCAGGTCACTGTAGCCTTGCTTACAGATGGGCTAGACTATTTAATTTGCTGTTGAACTAAAAGGGAGAAAATAATTTCCAGAGATTACAATCATCCACAAATTAATTTCCCCCCCAATAAATGCCCTCCTGTCAACTCCCAGATATACAAATAAATGAACTGTCATCTCACAGCTCAACTGAACAGCTCTAGTTGTTTAATATGGAAACAAGCAATATTCTAGACTAACACAGAAAAATTTAATGCTAACAAGTTGAACTGCACTTGGGAAGGAAATAGAAGTCAATTTACTTTATGAAACATCAAAGCTGAAATAACCTAGGGCATTTACACACATGCAGGGAGCCTGCTCCAATGTGCTTTAAATCCATTGCTTTAGCAGCCTCAAGGGTCACGTTCAGCTTCTCCGTGCTGAAAAATGGTAGTGGGGCATTTTGAACTAAGGCTCATCAAACAACCTTTAGTTCAAATTGCCTTTTTGCCATTTTTTTCAGTGCAGGGATGCTAACACATGTGATGCTTGGGTGCTTTTAATTAACAGTTTACTAATTAGATCAACTGCCCCCCCACCACCCTCCTGGAGCATGTCTATAAATGCCCCCAATGTCCTCCTAAGATTGTTTATTCCCCATACACTAAAAATCTGTTTGATTTCTTTTGTTTTACCCTCTGTACAGTCACAATCAATCCCCTTCTGAAATCATTTAACACCTCCTATCTCAGGTACAAAAACCGTTATCATCTTGCAATCATGCATCTCCTGGCTGAGTCATTTTTTACTCTGTCAAGTTAGGAAATGGAAGCCTCATTTCTCATCAACACACTAGACCCTCCCAAACTTCTAGCCTATCTTTGTCTCAGTCAGCTAAAATGAGAAGAAAGAATCACTTTTTTACCCATCGCTTGCCTTTGGCTGCTAGGAAAGGAATGGGGTCTATCCCTTTTACCTGTTCCCTGTCAACATGAGTATTACACATTTTCCCAACTGCCTATAAACACTGGAAATATAGCTTAGAGTGAAAAATACATACAGCTTACTCTCAGAGCTTCTACTTTAGAATTATATATATGAAATAAAGTCATCTTCATATCTAGTACAGGCTACATCTAGCCAATTTTTGTAACGGGAGAAGAACAATCATTATGACTATATCTATATACCACATTGTATATTCATAACAGTTGTTCATCTCCCATTCTAAAATTTCATAGATGTTAGGGCTGGAAGGGACCAGACAGAGATCATTGGGTCCAGCCCCCTGCCCACAGGGGCAGGAAGTCTGTGGGGGCCAAATGATCCTGGCAAGATAGACTCCCCCCAGAAGTGGTGCCTATTTCAGACTGTGGGGACTCCAACAGTGAATAAGTTTTTTCTTATGTCCAGCCTAAAGCACTCTTCCTGGAGTTTGTGACAATTAGACCTTGTTTTCATTAGGAGTGCCCTGGTGAACAGATGTTCTCCCAGTTCCTGGTACACACCCTTATATACTAATAGGCTGCCACCAAGTCCTCCCTGAGCCTTTGCTATTCCAGGCTGAAGAGTCCCATGCCACTCAGCCATTCCTCATAAGACCTGCTGTCTGATTATGCATGTGGCTCTCCTCTGGACTCTCTCAAGCTTCTCCACATCCTTCCTAAAGTGTGGAGCCCAGAACTGAATGCAGTACTCTAGCTGCGGTCTCACCAGGGAAGAGTACAGTGAGAGGATGACATCTTGGGTCTTGCTTTGGATGCATCGATAGATGCAAGCCAAGATTTTGTTTGCTTTGCCAGCTGTGGAATCGTATTGGTGGCTCATGTTCATCTTCTGGTCAGTCATGACCCCCAAGTTTATTTTGGTCATGGTGCTAGTGAGGTAGCACTGCTGAGCTTATAGGTATGTTGTGGATTCTTCTCCCCATCCTCCTCCTCCCCCCTGCCCTGGGATGGAGTGCCTTCCATTTCTCAGTGTTGAATGTCATCAAGTTTTGATCTTCCCACATTGTAAGTCTGTCCAGGTTGGCCTGTATTGCCAGCCTATCCTCTAGTGTGACCAGACTTCCCCATAGTTTGGTGTCATCAGCGAATTTAGCAAGTCCGCTTCTGATACCTGAATCCAGATAGTTTATAAACTATGTTAAAGAGTACTAGTCCAGGTACGGAGCCCTGGGGGATGCCACTGGTCACCATGCACCATGTTGACATGGTTCCGTTGACTATCACTCTCTGGGTCCGACACAGTGAGTTCCTGAGCAATCGGAACATGAAGTTGTAGAGGCTGCAGTTTCCCAGTTTAACCATGAGGACTTCATGGGAGACCAAGTCAAAGTCTTTTTTCAAGTCCAAATAGATTATAATCAACCTCTTCTCCTTTGTCCAGGTGATGTGTCATGTGGCATGACCTACCCACAATGAAGCCATGTTGGCCATCTTTCAGAACATTGCATTCTGTTAGTTTCTTTGATTTTTTTCCCAATATATCTTTCTGGGGATTGAGGTTAAACTGCTGGGCTTGTAGTTCCCTGGATCTTCCTTCCTCCGTTTCTCGAAGATAAGCACCACACATTGGCCCTCTTCCAATCCTCAGGAAACTCACCTGAGCACCACAAGTTCTCAAATATCCTCACCATTGGCTAAGCTATGATATCAGCCAGTTCTTTTAGCACTCCTGGGTGCATTCCATCTGGGCCAGATGATTTCTGAATGTCTCAAGGTATCCCCTCATGACATCTTCACCAATGATGGGCATGTGTTCTCCCATACCCTGGCAATGCTACTTCTTGTTTGGCAGGGTCATCCCCTTTGGCTGGTGGAAGACCCAAGCAAAGTAATTAATTAATTAAGGAGATTGGCTTTTTCCTGGGTGTCCAGTTTCAGCTGCGCCATTTAGTTTAACATGACTTCCATGTTGCCCTTGTTTTTCTTCTGATTTCCCATGCATCTGAAGGACTTTTTGCTGTCCTTGATTCCTGTAACCAATTTGAGTTCAGTTTTGGCCTTGGCTTTCCTAGTTTGTTCCCTACAGGTGCAGGCCAGTGCTGAATAATCCTCCGTAGTGATGTTACCTGACTTCCAACTTTTGTAGGCTTCTCTTTTCAGATACAGGAGGTCCAATTTGACTAGCTGTAGCCTGTACTAAATAATTGTAGAGAGAACCAAGAAGAAAAAAAGGTCATCTTAAATAGGGTTGTGGAAAAACTGTTTTCTTTTTTTCCAGTTTGGCTAAGGAAGCAATTTTTTGTTGTCGTTTAAACTTAAAAAACCCTAATGTTATTTGGTTTTTGATTATCCTGTTTATCCAAGAGCTATATGGCTGGAGCATTCACACAGGATGTTGAGGACATACTATACATCTTTTTCTCTGATTAAGACACTCCCAGGATAGTGTCCTAACCACCAAGCTATGGGATCATAGGAAAGTAAGGGTGGAAGGGACCCCACAATGTCATCCAGTCCAGATCCTGGATCAAGGCAGGACTGTCCCCAACTAAACCATGCCAGACAAGTCTGTCCAACATGTTCTTGAAAGTCTTCAAAGATGGAGATGCTACAACTTTTCTAGGTGGCCTATTCTAATGCATGCCTCCCTCACAGTCAGCAAGTTCATCCTAATCTTCAACTTTCATTTCCTCTGCTGCAGTTTGAGGTAATTGTTCCTAGTCCTGTCCTCTGGGGCTATAGAGAACAGCCTATTTCCAATCTCTCTGTAAATCACTGTTTAGATATTTGAAGATTCTTATCAAATACCTCCTCAGTTTTCTTTTCTACAGCCTAAATAATCCTAGCCATCAACCTTCCCTTGCTTCCCAGGCCTCTAACAATTTGTTGTCACTCTCTCCTGGACTCTCTAATCTGTTCCCATCCTCACAGGCAACATGTACCTCCTGAGATGGGGGGGGGGAGGGCACAGCAACTGCCCACAGGTGGCGATGTAGCTGTCAGCAACGAGGGTGGACTGAGTGGGGACCATCCACAGGCGGCTGCAGTGGTATCAGCAGCAGTGTGGGGGTCCCTCCATGGCCAGATGGCAAAGCTCAGAAGTGCCAGTGGCATGCCCAGAAAAGCCAGTGGTGCTTCTGGGGGCATGGGGTGGAGGACACCAGCACTCCGCCTGCCCCCCTGCCCATCACTTAAGCCGAGAGCGCTTGCTCTCAAGGGGAGCTTTAAACTAGACTCACTGGGGGAGGGGGCTGCCAGAAGACAAGGAGACG